TATTTTAATACAGACTTGTTGAATTTCGACTTTTACAATTTACTTTTATATCGTCCTGCTTAAACAGAAGACTCAACACTTCGTACTGTTCGATGCAGGTTTCATACAAAAAATGTTTCGTTACGATAGTTCGTGTCATTGCTAAAAGATTACTCAAATGAGATAGAGCTGTCATATTGTTCATTGATTCAGAGAACAGTTTTTGTTTCTAATTCGATAGAGGTGCATGCAAAGGGTTATATCATGAGAAAAGCAATGCATAAAGCGGGGCGCAGGAAGGGTGTGGGTGTGGGTGTCGGTATGAGTGTATGAGTGTGTGAGTGGGTGTGAGTGTATGGGCGTGGATGTCTGTACAACCGTTCTTTAAACCCACACTCTTAATTAATTAAACAAAATTAGCATCAGATTCATGTTCTTCGTTCTGATTTGCGTTAATTCAATTTTTTGAGAAAATACGTTAATTAACCGTAATCAGTTAATTAATTCATTCTGACATCAGATTCGGATTCTCCACACCCGAATACCCCTTTTGCAATCTTATAAAAAAATTGGGTCCACTAATTAAAGGCTAATTAGTATTGAGTTAATTAATTAACTAATTAATTAATTAAAACCGGCCTCGGATTCGGATTCCCCATGCGAAAATACCCTTTTGTACCATAAAATTAGCAAAAATACTCACGTAGCAACGGAAAAAGAAAATTTTTCTACAAGTTTTTTTTTATTTTCCATTTTTCTCGAAACTAGTTTTTTGGGTATCAAAAACCAGTTTTCACCTTTTTTCTACGCCATTTCAAGTCCGATCGGGTTGAAAATTTTTTTGATGAGACTTCAAGTGATTTGGGTTGGCCGTTTTTTTTTGGATACCTTCTACTAATCAAGTTTGGCAGACTTTGCAAAATTTTTAGGATCCAAAAAACCTAGAGATTTTGCGAAGTCCTCAGTATTTTGGTTCTCCAGTCTGAAGTATTTGGAATTTTTGAAAAAAAAACGCACACCCCGATTGGATCCATCTACCCACAGTAAAAATTTCAGCTCAAACGGATGAAATCTGTGGATTTGAGGGGGGAAACCTTTTGCAAGTTTTTGACCTTGGAGGTCTCTGGAAGTCCATGAAGATGAGGTCTGGCAAATTTGTGCCCATGACAACTTTTACTCTACTACTCGAGACCTATCTACCCTGAAAGTTTCAAGAATCTTCGATCGGCCGTTTCTTAGAAATGCCGGAAAGGGGGGTCCCCTTAACACAAGTAGTAGAACGAATCCGGACAGCGATTTCACCTATCATGGAATGCTGTACACAGTATTTGGGACATAATCCCTCATTTCTGCCCAATAACAGCACTTGGAAATAGTACCATCGGATAGAGAATTTAATTCTGCATCTAACACACTCAACTACACTCTTAAAAAAATCGGTTTTTTTACTGAACCCCTAAAAAAGGTTCCGGAGATTTCGAAAAGCATCCAAAGTTGTCGAAAGTCTCAAAAAAAGGATAAAAAAATCTACAAAACCTTTAAAGGTTCTTACGGTGTACCCAGAATAAGAACCTTTTCCTGCGAAACCTTTTTTTAAGTTCCGTACAGCAGGAAAAGGTTTCGTGGGAAAATACGAAACCTTTAGAGTATCATATTAAGCCCTAATAGTTTCGTACTAAACCCTGATAGTTTCATACTAAACTCTCATGATTTCCTAGAGTTTAATACGAAACTCTAAAGATTTCGTATTTTCCCACGAAACCTTTTTCTGCTGTACGGAACTTAAAAAAAGGTTTCGCAGGAAAAGGTTCTTATTCTGGGTACACCGTAAGAACCTTTAAAGGTTTTGTAGGTTTTTTTTATCCTTTTTTTAAGACTTTCGACACCTTTGGACGCTTTTCGAAATCTCCGGAACCTTTTTTAGGGGTTCGGTAAAAAAACGATTTTTTTTAGAGTGTATACTGATTCACTTGTTGTCTTTTTGCTTCTCAAATCTGATTAATTCCTGTAGGCATTCGTTTACTGATGATACTGAAATCAAACGCAACGTTGGTACCAAATGTCATGATTGTTGATGCATAAATGAATGCTTTTTTCAGCTTTTATATGAATAGTTTAAAATGTTGAGATCACATTAATTGTTTAATCGAATATTTTCAAAATACTAATCTTTATTCGAAATCTTCATTATCAGTAAGATCAATTATTCTTCAATATCTGTCATCTTAACTATAGATACAATTTTATGATAGAGAATTTTTTGACTATTTTGATATTATAAATAAGCAGAACTTGGTCATAAAAAAATATTATCAATCTACAAAAGATTTACTGATTTTATTCATACTTATTGCCAATGAATTAAAATGATTATAACAACAAGTGGCATCTCGAAATGCAAGCTTAGCAATTCTTCACTAGACACAATCAATGATCGATATAACCATGACTGACTTTAATCTGTCATTGATAGAAAACGATGATTACAGGTAAATATAATTGAATAAAAATCAATACTGGTTAACGATCCAGACTCGTAACTGATAACATGCGTATTAATGGACCGATTATCGCATTGATATCGTTCTTGTGACATAATCAATTGTTTCTCTAGCTTATGAGTATAAAAGCCACAATGAGAATATTAAAATTTGAATACTATATTTTGTGAAGGGAGGACACTGAAAGTAGAACATCTATCATTTTCGTCTCATAAATTTTCATGATCTATATAAATATAGATGTTTAGTATTTGTCATAGCACTTACTTGTTCAAGATGAAATTTTTGAAGAAGTACTTCGATACCTTCTTATAATTGATTTTCATCAGATATTTCAAGATTTTTTAAAATATTTTTCATAAAATTGTTTTAAACCATAATTTGTTACATAATCAGTACGATATTCATCAAGCATCATAAATAACACAAGTGCACGTACATTCAGAGTACTATTTAAAATACGTGTTGATTTTTGTGCTTGATGTCTACTTATTGTTTTTATCTGTTTATCAGCATCTGTTGATGAATAAAATATATGTACAAGATGTTCAGTAATATATGGTTGAGTATTAAGTAATTTTGATATTTCTTTAAGAGATAATTGTTCTCTAGGAAAATGATCACAAACATTACGTACAAATAATAGTAATGATTCTTCAGGTTCATTGAGTAAACTTTGTCATTGTATTTCAGCTCTTTGATGATGTGTCATTGTTGAATATATTAAACTTGAATTAAAGAAAAAAAGACTTTGTTTGTGAAATAAAATTGATTTTCTTTAATTAAATATATTTACTTATTAAAAAACTCTTTACCATGATCGGATAATGATCGTAAGAAAGCTGAAAAAATTGGAGTTGATTGATGAGTAATCTTGCGTTTTAAAGGATGTGATTGTTAAACTGTTGTTGTAATCTTAAATATATACTAATAATTCTTAAATTTTTGTCGACTAATAATAAAAGTATTTCAAATCGTATTTTTTCGACATAATCGATACAGTTCATGATTGAAAGAACTTTTTTGAAATATATCTGAATTGTACTGAACTAAACCATCAAAATATAAATAAAAGTTGTCAATTAAGATACAGTTTTAGATTGTAATATTATTTACATAAATGTATCTACATAAATTTGTTCAACTATGAAATTCAATATTTTATATGAAAATACAATTCTCAATACTTTAGTCGTTGATAGTTTTTTTAATATATTTATTTTTCTTACCTGTCGAGCATACTGCTGTTCATTTAATGAATGGTTTACAATATTAAAAACTATGTTCGTTACAACACGTGGTTGTATGTGACGACTCGATCTATAAGAGATAAAATATATTTTTATTTCATGTTTATTTAATAGGGAAATTTGATCTATACTTCGAAAAATCTTGAAGCGTAACCAGCAAAAAGAACAAGTAATACACATTCACCGATCATAATCAGTATAATGTATTAAATTATTGAGAAAAAGAAAAGTAAATCCTTAAGTAATATAATAAATATTCGTATTTTGATGAATACATAATACATTAACGTAGGTCAAAACGAAAAATACTGCCTTCCATCTATTAGTTACAAAATCGATTGTAAGATCAAGGTCATAAACAAACATGGTATTTCACATACACATGTGCAATAAATAGTGATTTTGGATATTTTTTGTTTTATTGTGATTATCAAACATATTGACGGCGCAATCGATGTATTGATTATAAACAATTTGTTAAGAATACCAAAATTATTTCAAAATGATATTTAATTCAAATTAAAAAGATGATGATTATATCTTAGAAGTTTCTCTATGAAAAATTATATGTATGATTCATGAAATATGTGTTAATAAAGATAAAATTGAGTTCTTTCTTGAAAGTTTTTAAGTAAAGCGATGTTTGAATATTGTCTCAGCAAGAATGGTACCTTAATTTATTATTTTTTTTTGTGGTAATTTGACTTTACAAAAAAGTGATATTTTTCACAGTAATAATACTATTGAAATGAAAAATGCAGTCTTGTGAAAATAAAACATATCTATGTTTTTTCATATTGCCTCAAAATATTGAGCGTCAAAGTAATACCATTTATAAAAGTGAATAGTTCAAATTATTTGTTTTTTTTTTTCTAAAGCTTTTATAAACGCTGACGCAAATGTAATAAAAAACTGTTTATTTTTATTCATACTAATTTAATCTTTTTTTTTGTCATTTTGACTATGATTATCATTTTTTTGAATCAATATTCTGCATGAAAATAAGAGCTACACGAATTTTATGTATGTTTATTTATTTGTTTTTACTAAAGCAGTAAAATTTAAAAAGTTATCCTAATGAACACCAAGTCTTTTCGATTGAATACATATTGTGTTTAAAGACCATCAAAGTTTGTTAGTATCGTCAATCAGGAATAAATTGCCTTTTTGGATGAGATAATCGAGTAAAACCCCGTTTGAAAAAAAACAATCTTAAACACACTGATATGTACACTGTTTGAAATATCTAGCATGTCTTACATCACCATATGTAAGAGTACAAACCGAATCACACATTCGATATTCTTCATGAACACCTAAGCACCATTATCCGAACAGGAATCCTAAAACAGTCAAAGTTTCATTATACTA